AGATTTCATATAATGAACATTGTTGACTGCCTGCAATTCTCTTAATTATTTACTTTTTTAGGTAATAAAAAGCCAATCTTATCTTCCTGATAATCTCATATTTGTGAAACGCAATGTACTCGTATGTAAGAAGTGTGTACATAAAGCAAGAACCTAACAATTATCAGCTGCAATCTTACTGCTGATTGCCTATTTATCTATCTTAAGTGTGTATAATAAATTGGCAATACTTGAAAAATATTTACATATTCAGTACACAAGAAAAAAATTCATACAAACAAAATATCACATGAAAAAACCACAAAAAAAATAATAAAGAGCATGTAAATAGTATATTCACTATATTTAAATATATGGTAATTCTTAGTTTGTCAATTTTTATTTTTTATGCACCATTATATCTACACATGCGTATTTATTTTTTACTTAATAGATAATAAAAATGTTTATATGTTTTACAAAACGCAATGAGGTTTCTTAGTTTTGTAATTTGTAGTCTATAAAAAATTTTAACTACTTACAAATTATCACGTACACATGCTTTCTGGATTTCTAGCATAAATAAACAAAGCCAAGTAGCGGAAAATTTTTTAAATAAATCTTTGCTTTGAATCCGTATTGATTATGAAAATATATCACCTGGTAGCAAAAGTTGAACGTAGTTAAAGGTTAAACAATAGATATATAAAGCGAAATTATGAATAATATTTATCTTTAAAAATATATAAGAAACACATGTAATTTCAATCATTAAAACCAATTCACACGGCAAACTTAATCGCGATACCGAAATCTAGATTAAATGGTTATCATATGACATTTTTGTTATAATTGACAATGAACAGTTTAAGTGAAACAGGCAAATAAAAAAAATATAAGAAACACGTCTTACGAGAAACATAATAATTTGGATCATAAGGTAGGTAAGCTAACTCAAATATATATAATATAATTATATAATATATATGTAATATACATATAATTTTATATATAATATAAATATATATAATAAAATATGTATTATAGTAATTAATAATAGTTTAATATGTACTAAAATTATATTTTTTATATATATAAAATTTATGATATATAATATTAATTTATTTTTATATACTTATTACATTATATATTATATTCCTTAATTATAATATATATTATTAAATTTTATTTATAATATATATATTATTTATATTATATATAAGATTATATTACATATATATTATATAATTATATTATATATATTTTTTATTTGTATAATATTTATATTTATATAATAGAAATATAATATATATTTAATATAAATTACCTATAGAATTATATCAAAAAGTTAAATTTGTATATAAAGTATATAGTGTGATTTTAAATCGTAGCGTAACATACTTAATGAATTTTGTGTTTATTAAACTAAATAACATTTTATGATCAATGATAAGGTCTCTATTTCGGGTAGAAAAGTGTTAAATATTTCAGAAAATTGATTGTTTAAATTATTTAAATATTAAAGTAGCTATGAAATAATCAAGCAACTAAAAATATTAATAAAAATAATAAATATAAATTAAAATAAAATAAAAAATTAAAAATAAAAAAAAAAATTAATACAAAAATAAAAAAAATTGATGCAAACAAGAAAAATAAAAATATTAATAAAAGAATAAAAAAAAATTTAAATAAGAAATAAAAAGAAAATAAATAAGAAATAAAAAAAAATATGAAAAAATAAGAAAAAAATTAAATAAAAAATAAATAGATCACATATTTTAAGAGATTTATTTGAATATTAAATGCAGAGCTGATATAGTTATGGTAACACTTCCTTATTTGCTTTCAATAAATGCAAATTTCATAGGTTTTAACATCGATTTGCAAATGTGAAAAAATACGCAAATTGTAGCCACGAAAAATACTTTATATTCATATGGCAAATTTTGTAATATTTGCGTCAAATATTTTAAACAAATAGATTTGCTACAAAATAAGGAAAAACTGTAAAACGAGCGCATAATTAACAAAAAAAAAAAACAAAAAAATCAATATAACAAAATACATATCATATAGAAAAAATGTAAAAAATTAATATTCATATATTTTTTAAGTAACTAATAAAAAAAAATATTTTTAATAAAGTCCGAAGAAGTTGGTTGACTGCCAATGCAATTATAAAATATATTTATTTTATAGCATTTTTATTTTATAGCATTCAGTACGACTTGTACTGAAAACAATGTTTATGTTAAATTATTGTAATTAAATTATTATTGTAATACAAATAGATATAAATTTTTTGCAGTAATTTGCATAGAATATACTATAATGAATTTTAAAAAACGTGACTTCACTGAATAGACAAGAGCACAGATTTTATTTATTTATTTTTTTATTCCCCCTCTTAAGTGTATATATTTTGATATGTAAATATATGTATATTTATTTAACATATTTTATGCTATTAATAGTTGCGAATTATATTTGCAATATTTATATATACATATATATATATATATATATATATAAAACTTTATAATAAATATTAATTAACATAACTCGTTTCATAAAAATTAATTTCTAATTTATTTTAAGCAATTTAGTTATATTTATAGTTATTATCTAAGAAATTTAATCAAGTTTATGGCTGATTTTATGTTGACAACGTTTATTATAGATATGTTTTACATATATGTATGTGTGTATGTATTTTATATATTGAAATAATGGACTTGAAAGTAATTAATCTTATTTCGTGAGGTTATCGAAAGTTGATGGAAAAATTGTTCTGGCATTGTTAGAACTCGTACTTAGTATCAATTTTAAATATTTTATAGGAACCATTTTCAGTTCTTTGAACTTTATATCATAAATTAACAGAAGCTAAAATCGAACACCTATGTAGATATAATTACAAATGTATGTATAATTTTAATTAATTTGTTAATTTTTAATTTATGTACAGTTGTTGAGAAGTTTCAGTATTTAATTTAAATACTATTCATTATAATAAATATTTTTATTTGAATAAATATTTATTTTTTTTTTAATTTAAAAACATTTATATATTTATATCGGGCAAATTTTGTTACAATAAAAGTTGTTTTTAAATATATATTTAGTTTAAATATTTAATAAATTTAGTCAAAATATTTATTCATTTACATAGTTTTAAGTATTATTTATTTATATTTTTTTCTATACCAAATTATTATTATTAAACGATATAAAGTATTAATATTTATTTTTATATTGTTTTTTTTACTTTAAATAATTTTATAATAAGCATTATACGTATTTATTTTTATATTAAAGTCTCATTATTAAATATTATTGCATATTAAATATGACTTTATTTTATTTAATTATTATATTTATATTAAATTGTTATTCTTAATTATTATTAGTAAATATGGTTGTTAACTATTTTTGTTTTTAATTATTTTTTTGTAATTATTATTATCAAATAATTATTATTAAATTGGTACTCTTAAAAATTGATATTATTAAATATTATTATTATTAAATTATTATTATTATTAAATTATTATTATTATTATTAAGTTATTATTATTATTAAATGATTATTACTATTAAGTTATTATTATAAAATTATAATTATTATTATTATTTAATTATTATTATTATTTAATTATTATTATTATTAAATTATTATTGTTATTAAATTATTATTATTATTAAATTATTATTATTATTAAGTTATTATTATTATTAAATTATTAGTATTATTAAACTATTATTATTATTATTAAACTACTATTATTATTATTAGACTTTTATTATTATTATTATTAAATTAGTATTATTATTATTAAGTTATTATTATTATTAAATAATTATTACTATTAAGTTATTATTATAAAATTATAATTATTATTATTATTTAATTATTATTATTATTAAATTATTATTGTTATTAAATTATTATTATTATTAAATTATTATTATTATTAAGTTATTATTATTATTAAATTATTAGTATTATTAAACTATTATTATTATTATTAAACTACTATTATTATTATTAGACTTTTATTATTATTATTATTAAATTAGTATTATTATTATATTATTATTATTATTAAAAGAATTTTTTCATTGTATTTTATTAGTTTATATTTACTACTTTTTATTATATGAAGAAATATAGAAACACATAAATGAATGATTGAATCTTAATTTTTTGACATAATTTTTTAATGGCATTATTAATCAGTAAAAATGATATTTAAGTATTAAAAATAATTATCAAAATAAAAAAAGCAGCTTTCAAAAAGCTGTTGAAAAATAAAACATAAAAATTAATAAATTAAAAAAGCTGACATTTGTAAATATGGTAGTTGACGACAAATATTCATAAACAAATTAAAATAATCAGCAAATTAAAATACGTAATGAATTTTGTTGCTGAGACAACAAATTGCATATCATCATCTGATGGATACAATTACATCACAAATAAATATGCTGTTTTTGCGTATGTGTTCTAGTAAAAAAAAATCAGTGTCTTCAAAAATGTATACACTAAATATAATTCCCATATACCATATACTATAGAAGTTCTACACCGATAGAATACTGAAGTTAACCGAAAAATAGTAAGAGGTCATAAATAATGGCCAATTTATAATTGATAAAAATTGATTTTCATTAAAACCGCTACTTTTAATACTTTACCCA